GGGATTGAGATGGAGGTTTCCAAATTCCTCCTGGGAGGGTGGAGGTTTCTCAAATCCCGATTTCCGCTCCCCGATGAGGAACTTCTTTAACCACAGGAGAGCAGCTCCATGGTGGGAACAGCAGGTGGGAGCAGCTCTAAATCCACAATAAATGGAAAAAACCTGGCAATCCAAGGCCTGTGCCCAGCAGGGAGATGGGATTTTGCCGTAGCCTTGGCGAAAGTGTCACGGGATGTTGATCCTGGGAAAAAGGCGCCGCTGGAAACGTGCCCTGAGTCCTGCACTCCGACCTGAGCTGCCACCCTGTCTGCTCCCTAATGACCCACTTTCCTCAGGAAAACGGGGCAAAAAAGAAAGGAAAAGTGGCCTAATCGGCTTTGGGCTCCACGGGTGCCGCGGCGGGAAGCTTGAATTGCCTCCCCACCAAAGCAGCGTCGTTGCAAGGGCTGGAGAAAGGGTTTCTCCAAAGAATTGGGATGGGAAGCTTTGGAACGACGAGAACTAGGCTTAAATATTATAATTCTGGGAATATTTGGGGGTTTGTCCCTGACACAGACCATTCCTAGCATTCCCGGGTAATATTTTGGGAGTTCAGGAAACCTCCCAAGTCTCCCCAGAGCGATTTGAGGAGGGGGAAATCTGAGGGGTTGAGTTCACTGATGGGGCTGAGAGGTTTGTCTTCACTCCACAGTCATGGAATCAGCACTTTGGGTGGTGGTATTATTGGATTTCTCCATCCCCATCCTGAATAACTCTTGGTATTTTGTCTTTGGAGCAGCATTTTGATGCAGCTGATCCAGCCCAGGGCTCTCCCCACCCTTCTCCTGCAGCATTCCTGGGCCAGCAGCTATTTCCCAAAACTCTTCTCCTCCCACATCCTCTCTGTCTGTGCCCTCTGGGGCAGCAGGAGCCAAAATCCCAGTTGTACCAGTTCAAATTTGTAAGGTTAAGCTCCGTGAAGGCTAATCCTGGAAGTCTCCTGGAAAGGAAAAGCAGCTTTCTTCCCCAAATCGATGTCACGCCAAGAGCTGCCCTTCCAGGAGTCTGAGCCCTGTCCCCAGGGAGTTGGGAGAAATCAGCCACCATTCCCAAATTTGCTCTGAAGCCTTTGGTTTGTAAAATAAAGGAACAGAGGTGGAAGGGCTGATTTCCAGTGGTTGATTTCAAGGGTTTGCAAACCCTCTCGTCTCCCACCATGAGAATGAAGGGCCCAGGATGAGGTCAGAGCGTTGCTAAGGAATTAAAAAACCTTGGGAATGCCCTGGTGTTTGCTCTCCTGGGTGCATGGCTGGTCCATGGAGGTGCAGGTCCTGGCTAAGGCAAGGTCATCTCTGTGGGAAAACCTCCCAAATCTTACAGGAGCGATTTGAGGAGGGGGAAATCCGAGGGATTGAGTTCACTGGTGGGGCTGAGAGGTTTGTCTCCACTCTGCAATCATGGAAGCAGCACTTTGAGTCATGATGTTACGGAATTTCTCAATTCCCATCCTGAATAAGAAGCAAAAATGTTGTGGAATGGATTAATCCAGGCTTGCAAATCCACCTGCAGAAAGGAAACTCCATGGAAAAAGCCATTCTCTTATTCCCTTCTCACCCCCCACTCCCGTTCTGTGCCCATCCCGCTCTCGTTCCAGGTGGATCAAGTTTGAAGAGAAGGTGGAGGAAGGTGGGGAGAGATGGAGCAAACCCCACGTGTCCACGTTGTCCTTGCACAGCCTGTTCGAGCTGCGGACGTGTCTCCAGACGGGAACGGTGCTCCTGGACCTGGATGGCTACTCCTTGCCCCAAATTATAGGTAGGAGCTGGTGGATGTCCCTTCCAAACCACCTTTCGCCCGTGTCCCAAAGTGCTGGGAGTGGATTTAAATATATTTACTGCTCCATAAACCAAGTTATGTGGGAATAAGCAAAGGCAGGAGTTGAGAGCCACCGATTTGCTTCAAGAATTGTTGTCCTGAGCACTCTGGGGGGGTTGCAGTGGGGTAACCCATGGGCCTCCCTTGCAGATGATGTCATTGAGAAGCAGATCGAGGATGGTCTGCTCAAGCCAGAGCTGAGGGAGAAGATCAGCTATGTGCTGCTGAGAAAGCACCGCCACCAAACCAAGAAGCCAATCCACCGGTCCTTGGCCGATATCGGGAAATCCGTCTCCTCCAACACGGGTGAGTCCTTGGGGTCCAACCTGGTTGCACCCTTGAGTCTTGGGGAAGAATTTCTCAGGAGAAGGAAAGGGGGAAACCCAACCATTTGGGACACTCAAGTGTTTACTGTATTGAGAAGGACCCAGAAAGTTCTGCTGCTGGTGGGTGTGAGGGTGAGGGGCCATTGGGAACTGGAAGCTGAGGAGGTGTTTGCTGAAATGGACAAGGTTGTGTGAGGAGAACGTTGTTGTGTGAGGGACAACATCACTGTGTGAGGGACAACATCACTGTGTGAGGGGAAATGTCATCATGAGAGGGACAACATCGTTGGTTGAGAGACAACATCACTGGCTGAGGGACAATGTTGTTGTGTGAGGGACAATGGCACTGCATGAGGGATAACTGTGGTGTGAGAACCATGTCATTGTGTGAAGGGATGTCACTGTGAGAGGGACAATGGCACTGTATGAGGGACAACATCACTGTGAGATGGACAACGTTGTGTAAGGACCAACATCGTTATGTAAGGGACAACATTGTTGTGTGAGGGAAAATATCATCGTGAGAGGGACAACACCATTGTGTGAGGGACAATGGGAGAGCACAATGTCATTGTGTGAGGGACATCATTGTGTGAGGGACAACGTCATCGTGTGAGGGACAACATCTGAGGGACAATATCACTGAGTGAGGGACAATATCTGAGGGACAACATCATTGAGTGAGGGACAACATCATCGTGTGAGGGCAATGGCATTGTGTGAGGGACAATGTCGTTGGTTAAGGGACAATGTTGTTGTGTGAGGGACAATGTTGTTGTGTGAGGGACAATGGCATTGTGTGAGGGACAACATCTGTGTGAGAGACAATGTCACTGTGTGAGGACAATGTCACTGTGTGAGGACAATGTCGTTGTGTGAGGACAATGTCGTTGTGTGAGGACAGTGTCTATGTAAGGACAATGTCATGCTGTGAGGGACAATGTTGTTGTGGAAGGGATGTCATTGTGAGGGGACAACGGCATTGTGTGGGGGACAATGTGTGAGGGACAGTGAGATTGTGTGAGCAGTGTCATTGTGTGAGGGACAACATCTTTTTGTGAGGGAAAATGTCATTGTGAGAGGGACAATGACGTTGTGTGAGGGACAATCCCATTGTGTGAGAGACAATGTCACCGTGTGGGGACAATCCCATTGTGTGAGGGACGACATCATCATGTGAGGACAATCCTACTGTGCAAGGGACAATGTCACCATGTGGGGACAATGCCATTGTGTGAGGGACAACATCATTGTGTGGGGACAATGCCACCATGTGGGGACAATGCCACTGTGTGAGGCACAATGTCACCGTGAGGGGACAATGCCATTGTGTGAGGGACAATGGTGCTGGCGGTCTCTTGGCCAAGGGGTTTTCTGGCACAGCAGCCCACAGACAAATCCAGTCTGCTCGGCGGCTGAACCCGCCTATTTTTGAGCCATTATAAAAGGGGATTTGTTTGCTTTTACGCCTGATTATTTTCTTAGGTTTAAATGGAGGTCACTTGGTGGAGCTCGGGATTTGCCAGGTCTCAGCTGCTCCCCAGGGAGACTGAAACAGCGGCGCCCAAGCTGCACATGGGAGAGGCCATCAATAATATTCCCACCCCGTGGGCATCCCCATGTTTCAGAGCAGCCATCATCCATGTCCAGGACTTCATATTTGAGCCAAGATTTACCCAAAGCCTTCAAAACAGAGCCTGGCTTGGAAATGTTGTGGTTATTCCCTTCCTGAGGTGATGGAACCTCTTTGAGTTTGGAAATGATGGTCATTGGAAGGAGCAGAGGGTTCTTGTGCCAGTGGCAGCTCCGTGATTGATCTTGGAATAAACAAGACCTTGAAAATGGGTCATGCCTAGTGGGATTTCATCATTATTTTTGTTGGGTTTAACAACAAAAAGAGGAGGGATGGTGTAGTTGCAGCTGGTACCTTGAAGAGGTGCAGAGCAGCCTGACACAACTGGTCCAGATGGTTCTCCAAAAGGAAAACACAGTTTTGGGAGTTGAGGAGGTTTCCTGAGAAAATTCTGGGCTTAGCACAGAAAATCCATGGGGGAAGGGAAAGTGCTTGTGTCAAGTAATTCAGCTTAAACATCTGAGATTAACAAATGGGCCTCATCACCAGTTTAGGGAGGAGAAACGTGAGACTTGGTGGTGGCCAATGTAAATATTTTGAAGTGTGAAGTTCATGGCAAAATTCAAGGGCGGGTTTCTTTGAGGAATTATTAGATTAAAAAACCAAATAAAGTTTTGGGTCTTCCTAAGTAACAGAAATTGCATTTCTGGACCTACTGATAGCCAGGTAAAGACTATTGATGGGGCCTGAGGTAGTGCAGGAAGATTTGGGGAGCAGGAAGATTTGGGGTATTTTCCTCAACATTCCCTGATTGCCAACGAGAAAATTCCTACAGGTGGGATAAAAGTGCAAATGAGAGTAGGAGGGAAAATCAAATTTTTGGTGTCTTGGTGCCAGAAGGGTCATGTCTGTGTTGATGTTCAACCTGGTCTCTGGCCTTCAACACCACCCAACCTTCTCCATGGCTCCTTTAACAGCTCCTTTCTCCCAGCC